TTTTTAAAACACAAAAAACAACCAACATAGCTTCTTTACTTTGTAGAACAACGGAGAGGGGAGGGGTCAGCGTGGGGAACTAAATTTAGCTCAACCCAGTTTAAAACTTGGTCTCATTCAACAAGTTAAATAGTCTCTTGAGGTTTCTTGAATTCAGAGAGACTCAGCCTCTCCGGTGTAATTTGCTCAGGCTCTCAGATTCCTCCTTTCCTCCCCTGCTCCTCCCATATATGACGGTTGGGCTAAGGGTGAGGAGATTCAGTGGTCGGGGGCCGGCGGGCATCTGCTGGGATCTTGATGTCACTGAAAGCATCCACTGGCTTTCCAGCTACAGCTGGTTGCTGGTGAACTGGTCTGGCCTCCCGCTGACTCATCATACTGGCTAATGTCGCCTCACAGTAGCTCTCTGTGGTTCTGTGGCCAGCTCTGGGGTTCTTGTTCTCTTTCTAGGCTGACACCAGGCCCACCTCGTCCCTACCACATTGGGTCCTAAAACAGGTCCCTGGCCATCGGTTCAATGTCTAGGTCACCCAGAAACTAAGGGGCTACAGAGGCAGGACTGATAGGTGGTAGGCTTTGCTATTAAAATAATTCAGTGCTTCCCTCCTGGTTGGTAAAGAGGTGTTGCCCAAGACCCTTCAGTATCCCCTCGTCTGCTCCAGCTGCCTCTGGCACATTCCCAGGTCCCTGTCATACTAGAAACTAAAGGGTTAACACAGCAGGCAGTCTCCAAGACTGCTCCAGCCCTGAGGCTCAGCATCCCTCCTGATGACATGAAGTATTCTGGAATGTCACCACTGTTCTTAGCCAGGGCAAGCAGGGTCCTTTCCTTACTCCAAGACTACCTGAACTTCTCTGGAAAGTCTCAAAGGACAGTGGATAAGAGCCCCCCTCCGTCACTGGCGTTCCCCTCAACTTATTGAACGTGCCTGCCCTTTCTGGGCTCTGCCCCAGGGGAAGGTGGGTCACCACTGGGGGTCATTCCCCTCTTCCTTTCCCCACCCCCAGGATGTCTACTATAGAGGCTGAAGCACTCAAATCTCAGCCTCCCTTACACCAGGAATAGCCATGTGACCCAGGTCTGGTTCATGAGAAGGAAGCAGAAGTCTGCTGGGGAGGGGGACCAGAGACAGTTTTTGCTCTCCTGGTAAAGATGAGAAACTAGCTCAATCCAACCCTCCCCCTGCTTCCTGCTTTAAACAAGGATGTTGTGCCTCAAGTTTTGGTAGCCTTATGTGACCAGAGAGGATCCCAAGATGCTTGCCCTGATGTGGTTGCTGCCTAACGGCAGATAAGCCCATGCAAGTTGAGCTCTCTGTTTTCTCAGCCAGAGGCAATCCTGATGCAGGGCAAAGTCCGCTGGACCACCGCCCTGCCTCTGCTCCTGATTTCTACCTGCCTTCCGCGCTCACCGATCCCCGGGCCTGGCCGAGGTTGACTTCTCCTCGCTCAGCTTTCCCTGTATATGCAAAAACTGCTTTCATAAAATCCGTGGTCTTTTTCACCTGGGCAGGCCCTTGAGGTGCTAAAATAGGAGATGAAGGAACATAGAGAAATCCTTTTGCTCTCTCGGGGGGCCTGCCTTTCAAGCCAAATGCACCATCTCATTGTGAATGCCAAAGTGTATTAACTCTACCATTATTAATCCTTACTATAATTAACTCATTATTATTATTATTAGCTGATATTATTACTATTAACTCTACTTTTTTTTGGCATTCCTTCTATAAATTCCAAATCTCATGATATTATAATTTATCCCCATTTCACGGATGAGGAGACCCAGGAGGCTTACGGAGATTGAGTAATCTTTCCCGAGTTGGACAGAGTGGAAGGGATAGAGGCAGGACCGGAACCATTTACAACAGTCACTAATACCCACTCTCCCCGGGCACCTCCCCTCCCTCTACCAACCAACCCTCTATCCCTCCCATACGGGACCTCACCCACCCCCACATCCCCAGCATGAGGGTGGCAGGGTGGTGAGCAAGCAAGAGGAGACGGGCAGCAGCAGGTGTTTATTGGAGAGCAAGGGTGTCAGCCCAGAACCAGCTACACAGATTCAGTCTTAGAGGGCAGAGGCCTGATTCCATAGGCGACACAGCACAGGGAGGCATCTGGGCACATGTGCATGTAGGTTTCATGCCTCGTACAGTAAGTTCGGCAGGCCCCTTGGCCTTTCCAGCACCGCTTGAATTCACTTCTCCCTGTGCAGAGGAAGACCACAGGTCACAAAGCAGCCCATGGGTTGCAGGTTAGACCACTGTTCACAGGTTTGACCATAGATCAAGGGTTAGGCCACAGGTCACAGATCAGACCACTGTCCACAAGTTAGGCCACAGGACCCAGGTTAGATCACAAGTCACCGTTTAGCTCTCTGGTCGTTGTGTTAGGTGACTGGTCATACGACATCCCACAGGTCATAACTGAGGCCACAGGACATGAACTCTGACCACAGGTTAGACTAGAGGCAACAGACCAGACCACTAGTCACGGATGAGACAACTAGTTACAAATGAGCCCACAGATTTCAGTCCAGGTTAGCCTATAGATCACAAGTTAGACCGCTGGTTACAAGTTAGAAACTAATTTCTTGTCCAGGTTAACCCACACCCCAGGTACACTCTAAGCGCTTTTCATGACAACACTGTACAATTATGGTTGGTCTTATTATGATCCCTGTGATACAGGGTAAGGAAACTGAGGCACAGAAAGATTAACAACCTTGCCCAAGTTTAGAGAGTCATTAAGGAGCAGGGCCAAGATTCAAACCCAGGTAATAAGGCTCTAGAGTCCGCTTATAACCATAGCATAAACTGCCTCACACATATGGATCCATTTAATGTTAGTGGAGGAATTTCTACCCATGGGCTATGGAAAAGGTAGGGCTTTGGAGGAATGCGTCCTGTGCCCCCTCTAAGGTCCTCTAGGAGACCTCAGGTTCCTCAGCTGTATAACTCCCTTTCAGGGGGGCAGTTATAGGGGATGTAATCATTTTAGCACAGTGTCTGGCACACGGTAAATACTCAATAAATGGAAAGGTAGATTATCAGAATGACAGCTTCTGGGGTGGGGGGGGGGGGCAACCAGGACTCATTGGAGGCCAATCCTCTCATTTTTGGATCAAGAAAGGGACTCACCCAACTTTTCCCAGCCAGTAAGCGGTGGGTCTGGAATAGGAACCCAAGACCCTGACTCCCAGGTGAGGGCGGTTCCTACAACTACTCTTGACACATCATCACATCTTAACCTTCCAGCGACCCTGAGACCCAGAGGTGCTGTTTCCTCCTACATGGTCTGTATTCCCCGCCACCCTTGCTCCACTTCTCTCCTGGTACCCCCCACGCCAGCCACGCTGGCCCCCTCACTGCTCTTCAGACACCCCCGTCATTCTTCTGCCTCCTGCTGCTTGTAAAGATCTTCTTTATATTCTCACTGTAGTCAGATCTCCGCTCAAGCCGACCTTATATACAAAATCGTTAAAGGGGCGTCTGGGTGGCTCAGTCGGTTAAGTGTCCGACTTCGGCTCGGGTCATGATCTCGCGGTCTGTGAGTTCAAGCTCCGTGTCAGGCTCTGTGCTGACAGCTCAGAGCCTGGAGCCTGCTTCGGATTCTGTGTCTCCCTCTCTCTCTGCCCCTCCCCTGCCCTCTTGCTCTGTCTCTCTCTCAAAAATAAATAAACATTAAAAAACAAATAAAGAAAAACAAATAAATTGCTGAGGTTGGGTGATGAGACACAGAGGGTTTTTATACTATCTTTTATTTGTGTTTGGCATTTTCTAAAATAAGGTTTCTTTTGAAAACTTACATCATTACATTAGTCTCTATTTTTGCATACGTTTACATTTTTCCATAATAAAATGGTTTTTTGTTAACTCACCTTGTTTCTTGTGTTGGTCTCTCTACTTTCATGTAAATTTCAAGTTTTTCAAAACACAAAAACAAACAACCACGCAGGGCCTCCCGTGACCCTCCCCATCAGCTCTCCCATCTTCCCCAACATGCACACACCACCCTAACCCCTTGTCCTGCTTCTATTCTGCTTAGCACTTACCACCACCTGACACATGATGTGTTTATTTGGTTCTTTTCTGTCTAAAATTATCAGCCCCATGAAAGCAAGGACTTTTTTTTTCCTCTCCCAGCGGTTGTCATAGTGCTGGGACACAGCAAATGTTTTTCAAATACATATTTGTCGAGTGAGTCCCATTTTAAAGATTAGGAAACTGAGGTGCAGACTGATTTAGAAAGTTGCCCTAAGGTGCCCAGCAACTCAGTGGGGGGGCCAGAACTCAATCGCTGGTCTAGGCCTCCTCTGTCCCCCAGAATCTGGGAGGCTCTCCCTCATTTCTGCACGCACACACACACACACACACACACACACACAGGTGATGTTACCTGGTGGCACATGACCCAGGACCAGGAGGGCCACAATCAGCAGAAGCAGCTGCGTCATGGCCACAGGGCTTCTGGGGAGGCCACCAAAGGAGCCAGGCTTACTGAGCCCTGCTGCCTGCGGCCCAGCCTTTATCAGGCTGCAGATCAAGGCAGGAGTGTGGGCAGCAGGAGACCTAAGTGGGAGGCCGGGGCTCTGTGGTCCTGAGGATCTAACTGGATCTCAGCCAGCTACGTGGGGAACTGGTCAGCCATACCTGCCAGAGATTGCTGAGCTCTGAAGCTACGGACAGGATTTCCTGAAGCGATGTCTGAGGTCAGAAACTAGACATCCTCTCCACCTGAGAGGGTGGGGAAAGGTGGGGCTTCAGAGAAACCTGGTTCAACGCCAGCGTCTCCCTCTGATCGCTGTGCTACCTTGGACAAATCATGTAACCTCTCTGAGCCTCAGGCGGTCATCAAGGAAATGATGACAGGCCCCCCTTGCAAGGCTAAGTACACGGGCCAGAACTCACTAACCCATTCGAACAAGCATGTGTTTAGACCGCTTGGAAAATGGAAAGAGTAACAGTACTTACCTCACAGAGACGAATGGCTACCTAGCTCATTTAGAGGATTAAGCAAAATAGTACAACGGTTCTCGAAGTGTGACACCCACACCAGCATACAGCAGCAATACCTGGGGCTTGTTAGAAATGCAAATCCTTGGGGCGCCTGGGTGGCTCAGTCGGTTGAGCATCCGA